GTGATACTTTGCATCAGAGATAGGTTATCCCTTGATGATCATTGATTTGTGGCATTTGATTTGTTGATAGATGATCCTTAGTGATTGCTTGAGCCTTCATGTCATTTCCTCAACTCTCTTCTCCTCTCTATCTCCTTTCTTTTTTGTTTTAACTATTGTGTTACATTGCTTTAGGACGATGATTTTGTATCATTTCTCTAGCATGTTTGAACACATAAATTGTTATTGACCGACCTCAGATAGGTGTGACTTCTATATAAGTCCACTTACGATTGCTTAACATAGCGCTAAATTGTCCCGACTCGATTAAATTCTCACTAATACTAATATAGACATATTAATTGTGCTAACATCTAACATTTATTTAATGCCTTTACATTTATGTCATTTACTTTTTTTCATTTATATTCATGGCATTTACATTCTTGTTTTTATTTTTGCCTTTTATCTTTATGTCTTTTACCTTTATGCATTCTCTTGCTTTCTTATTTTAAAAAGCACAAAAACATGATAAAATGACTAAGACCCTAAAAAATTTAATCCATAGGACTTTGTGTTACTATCCATTGCTTGAGGAGTATTTTTAACTATGAACTTGAGACTTAATGCCTTACCTTTGCTTGGAGTTTATCTGAGACCTTGTGATTCACCTGAGACATAATGCTACACTTGAGACCTTATGATCCTCAATTCAAGACTTGAATGTTTTATCTGTGGCTCTATGACCTTTTTACTCATATGGTTTTCTTTGACATTCATTTGTGTCTGTTGCTTGTTCAGCTTGTTCATCTTGTGGCTCAATCCAAAGGGAAAGGAATGTTGGTTTTGACCAATGTCAAATGCTTGCTCTATCTTGTGGTTAATACACTTGCACACACAAAGGTTTTCTCTTGGGTTATCTTACAATGCGACCATTTACTTTATGTTTTATGATAGACTCTTCTTCTCCTTCCCACTTCTTAAATTTTCAAAACTTCTCTCTATTTCAAAAACTTCTTGTTTTCAAACTTCACACTTCTTTCTTAACAAACCTTGACTTTGTCAAGTGATCCAGAAAACCTTTTCTCAATAAATGCTAAAACATTTAAGCATATTCAAACTATTTTCAAAACTTATAAAAAAGAAAAACCTCATCAAACTTCTTTTTGTGCCTCTGTGCACTTTTCTTTTAAAGAGCCTTTTTCAAAAGACTAGATGTTAGTCTATGCTTGCAGTGATGCAAACCACTATACTTCTACAAGATGCTGAGAAATGACTGACATTTTCCACTTGAATGTTGAGATGTACTTGTGAGAAATTCCAAGTAAAAGTTCTCTATATCAAGATAATGCAAATGCTCATTTTCTCATACTTGTGGGTAGTCAGTTTTGTTTTTCCACTCAAATATGACAAAATATCTTTTCAATTAAAATCAATCAACAAACAACCCAGCTTTATATAAACACAGATTCGCAAGTGGTTCCCGTTGAGTACAACGGATGTGAGGGGTGATAATACCTTCCCCGTGCATAATCAACCCATGTATCCAGATCTCTCTTTTTTCTTAGCTTCTTGCTTTTTGTGGATTTTGTTCGACCTTTCCCCTTTCCCCTTTGGAAACAATAAAGTTCAGTGGCGAATCTTGCTTTTACAAGTCAAGTTAATCAATATCTTAATCTCAATGAATTTTTCTGCCGCGACGCTAAGGAGCTGAAACTTTAAGGTCAGTTATCACTAATAAATGTGATAGACAAAGTGCAATATACCTGTAGAAGAATTCAACCTATCATGAGCGAACCAAGCACATCGATGCAAGACTGCACTTTGTAAGAGAGATAATCAAGCGTGGAGAAGTCCAGGGGCTGAAGGTTTTGACTGATGACAATGTTGCTGATATGATCACCAAGACATTGCCAAATAGCAAGTTTTTCCATTGTATGCTATAACAACCTTTTCTACCCCACAAATATAATGATAAATCAATCATATTTATCAGAGTAAAATATTGAACGCAATAAAATCATCACAAAAGGGCACACGTTTCTCAATAATTCAAATAAAAGTCAATGCTACGTAAACAACAGGTTTTCCCAAAATTACTCAAAATTGCTCAAAAGGCAGCGGAGCTCAAAAAGGAAAAATCCAAAGTTTTTCTTGCGCAGCAACATAATAAGAATAACAATAATCAATAAAACATGGTTTAACTCAAAGACCCCAACCCGATGTTACACTATCAGAGCAAGATCCTCTAAGTCAACCACACTGACCAACGACCCAAAAACTTCAAAAAGTCCTCGACGACATCCACGACTAAACCTGGTCATCTGCATGTTACCCACGTGGAGGCAACATTCAAACAAGCAGGGTGAGTAAAACGATTCATAATAATCAATATAAGAATCAATGTATAAAATGACGTCATTTTCATATCTAACATCATCAGAATCATCAAGGAACATCAAAGGCCACAACATTGTAAATTACACCAAATTGTCACATAAATGCGAATGCAACAAGACTCATGCATGTGGTACCAATCAACAAAATTCGATGGACACTGGGCCATCAAGCCTCCATAGATCCACAATAGTAGGATCGATTCTACACGAGAACCGGAGCACAACAAAATACCTCACGTCCGCACAATGGGACTGAAGCCACAAAAATCAAGGTCCTGAACCGAAGTCCGAAATGCATATGAATGCATGATGCACGCGTCAATATCATCCTCATAATAAACTCATTAGGTGCATCATCATTAATCAAAATCATCATAATAATCATGTCATCATATAATCATCAAAATTCATGGAATCAACATCATAACTCATCATCATTACTCATAGGAATCATCATACAATCATGTATTAATCACATAGGAATCATAGTCATACTCATGGTAATTCATCAAAGAAATCAAAAAATCAAAACATCAAGACATCACTGCACAAGATCAGAATTCGCGAAACTCTGCTACGTTCGCTAGCAAGTTCGTTGTGCGAGTCTGGGGCAAATGTTCGCCGTGTGAAGCATTCTTCGCTATGCGAACTCGCGATTACAATAAATCGCTGTTATGCACCAGCACCAAAACCTCTACGATTTCCTTCCCCAATGCCCTAAAAACAACCATAAATCATTCCTAAGGTATTATGGCGATAAAGGCACAAGATCTACGACTTATTAGGCCAATCCCGTATCATATTTATGCCTCTAATTCCCATAATTTCTTACAACTATCCCACTGTCATTAAAGTTCTCACAATCAATTACCTTATACGGTTAAACAACCTCAACAACAGATTTTGGCCACGAATGCCTAATTTCCTTTATTCTCAAATCAGCCTCATATCTATCAGACCATCAGTTCAAATATCTCAAACTCATTGAACTCACCATCAGAAAGGCAACAACAATTCAATACTCAAAATTCCTAAACCGTTAAATCAACTTTAAATACATTAAATTACATATTGAAAATAATGAAGGCAATACTCCCCATACCTTAATTGCCGACTCTAAGCCTTTCTCCTTGATTCTTGGAAACCTTGCGAAGCCTTGCCTGAATCCTAATTCCCTGAAAATTCCCTTTTGTTAAACCTAACTTTGGGCCTTAAAATTGGGCTTCCAACTTCTCCCTCACTAACTCCTCCTCAAATGTCCATTTTACCCTTAATTCACTTATATTTATTTAAATTAATAATAATACCAATATATTCATATTATATACTATTATTTAAATAAATAACTAAAAATTCATATTCTCAATATTCACACCAACCACCGAAAATCATCAAAAATGCGAATATTCATATTTAAATAAATTAAATAAATATTCAAAAAAATTTGGGTGTTACATATGCAGTTGATAAAGCTGCATGACGAAAGCTAGTTTGTTCTTTTGTTAGTATAGATTTTGTTCCAAGATGGAGATTTGTGGTATTTGAATTGAACTATAGTGTCGACAAGGATAGCTTCATGGTTCGACAGGAGTTATGCATGCTGTAGTCGATGTCTATTCAAGTATGCTGTCGAAATATGTTAGCTTTATATTTAAGTTAACATGTTAAATTGGGCCTTGCTTGTAAGCTCAGTTGTTAAGTTAGCTTGTAGCTTAAGTTAGCTTAGTAGTCTATAAATAAACTATTTCTCTCAGGTTGTTGAGAGAGGTTAATTAGTGTTATTCACTTGTAATCTTTGAACCCTTATTGAAAAAGTGAATAGTAAAACAATTTAAACCAAATCTTATTCTTTTTCTTCCTTTTTCTCTCTCTTTCGTAAAACCTAATAGGATTTTTTGTGTTTGTTCAAGAAACTCAATTTTTATCTCATAATTTTGTTCTGTTATTGACGACATCGTTTCACAACATGAATCCTCCAAATTTTTTACCTTAAAGTGATATGTTAACCCAACCTAAGGCATGTATGTACTAATACCATTAAACATGTCTTGTTCTACTACAAATTTCAGTGATATGATCAAATCTTCTATTTTTTTTACATTCACAATATTTTTCTTCCACTCATTGTCTACGATAATTCCTATCTCATTTCTTGATCTAACTCTGTCAATATACTCAACTTAAAATTCGAATTGTCTAATTCTTTCGTCTTTTCACCCATCAACCCATCCACTTAGTTTCTCTTTAGAACAAAAAATTGATCTTCCTCCTAGCCAAACATCCACTATTTCCATAAATTATCTAGTAAATATGTCTATATTTAATATTCACGAGATATATTAATAATTTTATATATGACATCACAAGCTATATTTTACTTACCTACCTTAAAAGGGTGACACATCCAACAACTCTGAAGTACTAATAGGAGCGCTGGTTTTGGAATCTTCACACTGCTCCAACTTTCAACCTCAAGGGTTTCCTTCAAAACCCTAATTTTCCAAAAATTCCTATTCGTAAGCATCTCAGTTTTCATCTTCTCTAACATTTCTCTCTATTCATTTTTGATTCATTGTTTTTTGTTTCAGGATTCAACGTGTTTGCGATAATTGAGAGTCAGTGATGTCTGGAAAAGAAGATAATCGAATCTTTGTTGGTGGATTGGGTTGGGACGTTACCGAACGACAGCTGGAACATGCCTTTGATCGTTACGGCAAGATTCTTGAATGTCAGGTACCGTTTTTCATCAATTCCTTAACCCTAATTTATCTTCCCGGTTGTATTTACGTTTTTTTTTTCTTTCAAAATCAATTGTTGTAGCTGTAGGAAATGTTGTCACAGGGAATTTTTAATGATTGAATTCTTCACTAATTTTTTTACCTGTTTTTTCTTTGTCTTTCTGGAATGCTGGTTGTGAGGTTTTTAATGATTTAAGTGATGTTTTAGCAGAGTTACTTCTTCTTGTGCGAAGTTCGTTTTCGATTTGCTGATAAAATAGTAGCTTGTGGTAAAGGTAGAGATCAAGGTATATGTTGAATCAGTGCAATAAGGACCTGTCTGCTATTTTTCTGAGAGACAAGTCTACTTCGTGCTTAAGGTTCTTTAGTAATGATTTTTGTATGATTTGGAAGGAATATTTGGCAGTAATATTGGGCTGAAAACTGGACAAGTTGAGACCGTATCAGTGTAAGCTTTGCTGTATCTGTTTGTAGAAATCAAAGAATTTGTGTCTTGTTTGTTCATTGGCTTCCTTCTTCTTCTAGTAAAAAACCTATTATGCGATGGTGATACTGATGACTACTAGTCGGATGTGTGAAAAACTTCTTATGCTGGACAGTCCCTGTTTTGCTTCTGGTTCTAGCTCAATTGGTCGATATAACTCTAGGGAATTAAAACGAGGTATTAAAGCCTGCTGTCTCACATGCTGTCTTTTCAAAAATAAAAAAAAAACAGAAAATTTTCCTTATAATGTATGCTCCTTTCTTTAGCTGTAGAGGCTGGGGTAGTAGAGTTTCCATTTTATGAACTGACAAAAAGTTTGGTAAGGTGGCATTTCTAGTGGTCCTGAAATGTGGAAAGGTTTCGATACATCATGCGAAGTATACATGGGCAGTGTTCGCGGGCTGTAGTTGTGGTACTCAGTAGATCAGTAACAGTACTTTGTTAAATGAGTTGAAGAAGTCTTGTGTATTTGCCTCAGTTCAGCAATTAAATCTTGCTGCACATTTGTCAGTGTAGGATACTTTCTCAGTGTAATGCAAAGCCCAGTTGTTTGGTCATTTTTGTGTCTGGTTGATTTCATTACTCTTGTTACATATACTTTCATGTACTTTCTGCAACCCATAAACCATACACCACCAAGAGGTCTTGTGAGTATTTAAGTGCTTCTGAGCTCAAAATTTTCAAGTGTGGAGCGTTGGGATCAAAGACAGCTGCTCAGATAGTGAATTCCTCTCTTAATACTGAGATATTGTATCTCACCAGTTCTACCGATTCTAGCTAACGTTGAAGGCTGAATAGTTAAATTTTATTAATTAGTCGCCACTTTCTACATCGGAATAGATTTGACTGTTTGGAAAGGTTTGCTTTGGTTTTGCTTTTGTCAGTGTAGTTTTATACAAAGAATCCATATCTGCACAAGTGTTATTTTCCGCCAAAATGCGGGTGTGTTCAATAAGTGAGCTAAAGGGCGGCAGAAATACATAGAATGTTAGGCATATAATTGCAGTATAATCAAATACTATGCATTCGTTCGCATTTGACTCATCATATTGCTGCATAAGATTGATTATTATTTGCATCTGGGGAGGAGAATAATCACAAAAGGTGTTGGTGGGCTTGAGTGAAAGCATGATATCCACGAGGAATGTAGAAAAAATCCCTGGCAGATAGTTTGTTTTGAAGAGCAATCCTCTGTGATACTCGTCATAGAATTGAAGCTGCAACTCAGTGGTCTGGTGACTGCGGAAATGAAAGCAACATTTGGGATTTTCCTCATATACTGTTCATTTGTGGCTGTATATTGGTCTAGTGTTAATTCTTCTGATTGAGAAAATATAATACAGTGCTTTTTAATCAAGTAAGTCAGATGCTAAGTTTATGTTGGGGGATTAGATTGTTTAAAGTTAAATCATGAAGCAGAATGGAACAAGTTGACATTCTTGCTCAGATTGTGGAAATGGTTATTTTAAGAGATATTTCTTGTCAAATTTGGGCTTGGGATTTCTCTGAATGACTTATCTATATGAAAACCATTCTGGTGCTTTGTCATCAGAAAGAACACAGAAGTAAGTTGTCTGGTTATAATTTGCTTTACAGTTGAACGCTGTTTGCATGTGTCACAAACAAAATAATGGAACTCCTTATTTAATGCACAACTTTCTTTGGTCACAAGTTTGCTTTTTTTTTTTGTTTATAAATTGAATGTCCCAGTATTTTGGATGCTTGCTTATGTTAGCATCATTCTTTGGACTGATAAATTTTTTTAGCTTTGCAGCAATTGCATTACTATTTTCTTGTGTTTATGTTATTCTGTGGGGGTGTGAGTGGTGGTTGTTTAGTGACTAATTTAAGCAATGCCGAGTTAAAGTTTAACCTGTCAGTGTCTGAGAAATATGTGAATACATTTAGGAATTGATTCTCCTAGGTTACTTAAATTATATCTATAATTAATGTGGATGAGGGATTAGAGTTGGTATTTGAATGGAGAGAACTTCTGAAAAGAACTGATAAATAAGTATGAAGGTGAAGGGTTTTTTTTGTTTGTTTTTTGTTGCTTGTGACTACCTTGTCTTACCTTCTACATATATGTTGTCTTGTTTTTTCACTTTTGTATCCTCATCTTGTTTGTATGATGTGATTCTATTTACTGATTTTGTAAATAGTTTATTTTTTATGCGAATAGCTTCTTCATATATGTGCCACTTTTTCTAATTACTAGCGTAATTTTACGTTTCTTATTCACTATGACTGGTTGAGTTAATTTTCCTATTAAGCATGTTTTATATGTTCAACACAATTAATCTTGTTTTACAAGTATTACAATAATGGTCTTGCAATAGCCATTTGCATCAAAAGCAGCATTGATATTTTATTCATCATCTTAAAATGCACATTAAAATTTGACATTAATTGTACATATTGCCATTATTTTGAATGATGTTTCAAGTGTTCTTCCTGTAGATCATGATGGAAAGGGATACAGGACGTCCTCGTGGATTTGGGTTTATTACATTTTCTGATCGTCGGGGAATGGAGGATGCAATTAAAGAAATGAATGGACGGGAAATTGGTGATCGCATCATCTCAGTCAACAAGGCACAGCCTAGGGCAGGGGGCGATGATGCAGACCAAGGGTACAGAGGTGGCTACACTTCAGGTGGCAGGGGAAGCTATGGGGCTGGAGATAGGGTAGGACAGGATGACTGTTTCAAATGTGGGCGTCCAGGACACTGGGCCCGAGATTGTCCTTTGGCAGGAGGAGACGGTGGTCGTGGTCGGGGTAGTGGTTCATTTTCTTCACGCCCTAGGTTTGGAGGTGCTGGTGGACACGGGGATCGCCTTGGTGAACGTGAGCGGTACATCGATGATCGTTATGACGGAGGAGGACGTTATGGGGATAGGGACCGTTTAGACAACCGAGACTACAAATATGGTGGCCGTGATCGCTATGCTAGTGACAGGTATAAACAGTTAATTGTTATTTACTGAATTACTACTCTTGGTGCTTTTGTTCTACCTATTTGTTATACTTTACTGCTTTGCTGAAAACTGTATAGGTATGCAACAAGTGGAGGAGATCGATTTGCTGATCGATATGGCAGTGGCTCAGACTACCCTCAAAATGGTTATGGGAAAGAAAGAGGCTATGACCGCTATGGTGGTGCTCGCGGAGGTGCTGATAGAAATGGAAATGGAATACCAGCTCGTGATGAAGGAAGAAGTTATAGGGGTAGGCCTGCTCCTTATGACCGCCCCAGCAGGACTGCTCGTCCATCATCATTTGACCGTTACTGATTTTTAATAGTTCATGTTGATCTTTTCAGTTAGATATTCAAATGAGGAGGCAGACTTAGGGACGTAGTTCTTGATTATGTAGGAACTCCTAGTTTCAGACAGATGCTGGATTGTAGTTTTTGATAGTTTGTTTCTTTTATTCAGATAATGTGAATTGTTACGGAGTCACTTCCCCTCGTTTCTTCGACTCTTAGACACTGCTCTCCTTTTAAATGCAATTGACACCGACTACTTAAGCCTACACCTGTTTATTTTAGGAAGAAAAAATTGACTTTCATATTTTGCACAGCATCTCCCTCCTAGCCATTCTCTCAAATTGATACCTCATATTTCATTTATCGTTCTTGAGCTTGTGGTGGACTTACTAGATAACATATTAAAGGTTTCCATTACAATATTGGAACCTCCAATGTTGTCCATGTCGAGTTTAGGGATGGCCTAAATATTGGTTCTCAACATCTTATTTCTTCTCTTTGGTGGGGTTGACTAAAAAGTAGTGATTAATTCTGTCAAGAATGGAAACTGTATTTTATCTTCTATCCTGTCCCTTGTAGAAATTCTTCACCTCCTTCGGACACGTTGAAAAAATTGTGTTATAAATTTCAATGTAAAAATTAGTAGACTCAAGTTATAAATTCTAACTTTAAAGAGAATTAATTTTGAAAAGCATAATTAATTATATTCAAGAGCAGCAAAACAAAAAAAATGTCAAAATCAATATTAAACATCCAAAACCATTTTAGATAATTGAAATCAAACAAACACTTAAAATCATTTTAGATAATTGAAATCAAACATACACTTAATATATTTAGTTAAGTCTTCATTTTGATATTTTTAGAGTGCAGTACACCATGCCCCATTCCTCAACTTTTTTCCATGTTATTTTGGAAATTTATTTTTCCACCCTAATAATACCTTTTCACAAATTCTATGTGAAAATTAAAAAATATTTTTAAAATTCAGAGATGTAACTCCGAATGTGTTAATTTTTCACAAAATTAAATGCAAACGAGTGAGTCACCTCTATTATAGTTAATTTTAATTTAGAGTTGTATATGATTCGGAGATGCATATTTGAAAATGACTCCGATCCCTCAAATCAGACACAGAAATAGTATGAGTAAGATCTAGAAACAAAAACAACTTGGCATTAAATTTAAACACTCAAAATTACATAGAAAGTTGTTAACATAAATTTAATATTACATATTGTTATAAATAAGTAGTTCAGGACGTTACAACATATTGATAGTATCATTGACAAATCTTGCAATCTTCGCATACTTCAATCAGACCCTTTAATATGTAACAGTAAAATGTAATACACGTGACCTTTAAATCTTCATCCGTCTTCAGTTCAAAGCTGGTGAACTATATCTTCCATTCGTTATCAAACGAGGGTGAACGATACTTGAGCTTGACAACTCTCTGATTTTTTAGATATTACAAGAGAATATTCAGTTTCGTTTTTAGATCGACGAGAAGTATGTTCTCACAGATCCGAAATTGAAGTGGAGGATTTTGCGCCATTGAAATACACAAATGCAAGATGTGGGATGAAAGACACCATATTTATACAAGTTTTAAGCCACTTTGGACCTTAGAAACCTTATCATGTCATCAGGGAGATTTTCGAAGATGCATCTCCGGATAAACCCTATTAGTTTTACGAAAAAAGGGTCTTTACGAATATGCACATCCATAAAGTGCTCTGTTGTGTTTTTTTTTTTAATTTAGTGTGAAATGTATCCGAATATGCGCATCTAGAATCATCCTGAACCAGAGCCACATCAAAAACCGTGTAAACCAAAACATAAAATTTGTAAACTGAAATAGTAGACATTTACACCATCATTGCTGAATATATATTACTTATGTATTAAATCGTATCAAGATTACAACGTTGACGATATTACATTCAAAGAAGTATATCAATTACAATCTAAAATGTATCAAAAGATGCATTACCGCATAAATGTACTACTATTGGTTCCTCCTTCGACTTTTCCTTATTTGATTCTCTTTCAAGGTTGCTCAATTTGATAAACTTTTCCATCCTTTACATAAATTGATCAAGCCATGTTTTTGCCTCTTTTGTGGAACGTGTCGTCCACTCCAATGTTGTAATTGGTATAGGATACCCCAGTTTCAAATAAACCCCAACAAAATGTAGAGATTTTGAAAGCCATCCAATACACATGATATGTCCGGATGGATCTAGAGGTGGGTCACTCCAAAGTGGAAAAAATGTCTTAGAGGAACCTATTAGAACAAGATTTGGTTCTGCATCTGGCCTTATGTTTTGATGATAACAATACATAGTATTTTAGAGAACAATTTTGTATCCTAATAATTTTATTCAGTGTGCAAACTTTATATACAAGTTATGAATCTAATTATAGGATGTGTGACATCATCAGACTCTGAAATTAGTATACTCTAACTCTAAATTTTGTGTTTACAAAGTAATCAAGCTCTGGATTTCGTACTCAATGCTTTGGACATCTACTCATCCAAGGCTTTGTTACTCTGAAGCTTCTGAAGCAGTTATGCTTCGAAGCCCTACGCTCAAATTAACTATGAACTGTGTCACTAGACTCTGAATACCAGGTTCTGATGAACCGGATCAAGACTCTGAAGACCAAGTTTCTGAAGATTCTCTCAACCAGACTCTTACTCTTCTCTTATGCATGCTTCACCACCTATCTATTAGAAGCCTCTGAATATTGAAGATAAGATGAAAAAGTTTTACGTGAGAAAAATAGTACACAATACATGATCATATATTCCTTCCTCTACACTGATTTTGTAGGCTAAGAATTATACTATTATACCATTATGTCTCCCATTTTCACAAATCATTATGCTAGGATACAATTGTATTTTGGTATTCCAATTCTACCCTTAAACGGATCTCTTCATTGAAAAGTGCTATTAGTGAATACTTTGAGAGAAAAGAAACACTCACACTAGAACTTATGTTCATACTCTTCATTGAAAATATTTTGTGTGATATACTTGTATTTCATTTGTGTATGCTTTCTTAAAAGCATTTTGTAAACACACTTTGTATCAACTTGTTTGATTGTATTTTTCCTTGAGTGACTAGGGTTTAGTCTGTATACTCACGAAGACATTGATTGTTGATCTTTGTGTTGTAATCAAGTTTGATTATAGTGGATTAAGTCCTTGTTGATAAGGTGAAATCACCTTGGCGGATGGACTGGACGTAGCTTAGTTAATAGTGAACCAAGATAAAAATAATTGTTTTATTATTTTTATTCTTAGTTTTCTGTTTGTTAGGTTGGGTTGAAAAAAACTTCGGTTTTAGAAATCCAATTCAAACCCCTCTTTCTTGTGTTTCTCGTCACCTTCATTTGGCATCATAACTCTGGTTATGGTATTAGTTATTTATCAAACACTTCATTGTGTCAGATAAAGATCCAGTTTGTAAAACACAATGGATGTTATCCCTCCACTAGCTGCACCTACTGATAGAGATCACTATAGTGTGAAACCACCCGTTTTTGATAGAGAAAAATTTGATTACTAGAAAGATAAAATAGAAATATTTTTCCTTGGTCATGAAGTAGAACTATGGGATATGGTAGTTGATGGCTACATTCATCCTGTTGATGAAAGTGGTAATAAAATGGAAAGAATAATGATGACTGATCTACAAAAGAAAGACTATAAGAATCATCATAGAGTAAGAAAATCTTGTTGAATGCTATTTTATACGCTAAGTATGAAAAGATCATAAGCACATATACAACAAAATCTATATTTGATTATCTAAGAATGAATCATGAAGGAAACACTCAAGTTAAAGAAACCAAGACACTTTCCTTGATACAGAAGTATGAATCCTTCAAGATGGAAGACAATGAAATTGTTGAGAACATATTCTCTAGATTTCAGACACTTGTTGCAGGATTGAAGGTTCTGGACAAAGATTACTCAACTGTAGTTCATGTGAAGAAGATTATCAGAAGCTTACCCAAGAGATGGAGGCCTATGGTAACTGTGTTGATACTTTCAAAGGATATGAACAACATAACTCTTGAAGAACTTATGAGTTCCTTGAGAAGTCATAAGACAAAGCTTGAAGAGGATGAGTCTCAAAGAAAAGTTAAATTTGTGGCTCTGAAATCCATGGGAAAGTTTAAGAATACCAAAGCCTTTCAAAGCTGAAGAAGAAGAGGATTTTGAAGAAGATTTAGAAGAAGAAGGTGAATTTTCTCTTCTTTCCAGATATGTTAATCAACTCTGGAAGAAAATACAATGCAAGTTCAGAGGCTCCAGAAGGATAAGTGGTCACTCTGAGTCTACATCTAGATTGAAGAAGTCAGGTGCTTGCAAATACGTCATTTGCTTAAAGTTCAAGGAGCCAAGTCACTACAAGAATAACTGTCCCAAATTGAAAAAAGACAAGCCAAAGAAGAAGGACTTCGGAGGAAAGAAGAAAGGTCTGATGGCTACATGGGATGACTATGAATCATCAGGAGATGACTATGAGAAAGAGCAAGCTAATATGGAATTGATGGTAAGCACAGAATCACCTGATGAAAATATTCAATCAGAATCAGAACCTGAGTCAGACTCTAAAGAGGTATTCCCTAACTTATCTAGTTCTGAATTAGAATCTTGTCTTTCTGAAATTCTAGAAAAATATCATAAGCTTCAGAATAAATACAAGGATCTGAAACAAGTCCATGTATTTGAATCTGAAGCACATAGTAAGCTTAAGAAAGATTTTTCCACTGTGAATGAAGAGAATTTTATTTTGAAAAATGAAAACTCTGCTCTTTAAAATAAAATTTCTAAACTTGATGAAGAAATTCTTTCATAAACTTTTGTGAATTCTGAAACTGTCATAAAGAAGTATGAAAAATATTTTTTATACATTTCTGGCTAGAAACATAGATAGAAGCAAGATGGATTTAATGATCTATGGAGTTAGCAGAAATAGAAGAAGAGGAATTGGTTATGTGCCT